TATACGATATCCCCCCAAACCCTATTCTACTCAGTAACGACTCTCTCCTGGGATGTTAGGACGTTACTTCAAGCAGTTTCGTAGGGGCGTACAGAGCCGGGCTTCGGGTGTTTTGGGGGTTTAGAACCAGGGTCTAGAGTTTGGTGTTTTAGGTCAAGGGTTTAGGGTCTAAGGGTTTAGGGTTCACTTAAAGGTTTTGGGGTTTAAAGTTGCGGGTTGAGGCTGCGTTGCATTTTGAAGGTTGTTATTCCGGTAAGAAGCTCCCAAAGTAGGAGACCGTGTGCGAAGGTGGAGTGTCGAACCTTGCACTGGTCTTTAGGTTTAGGATCTATAGGGTTCAGGTCATCACCGGGAACAACCTCTTTAAGCTGTAGTGGTCCGTGCAGGAGTAGGAGCGGCAGAAGCGACTGCATCAGAAGGAGAAGCGGCAGTAATGCTATTGCAAGAAGTGTGTCATCAAATTAGCATTTGGCTGTGATTTGGCAGCAGCGAGGAGCATCATTTGATAGCGAGGATGCCGGTAGCGGTAAAAAGCAGTCGATACCAATGCATCGGGTGAAGGCTCAAAGTGAGATGCATCATGCATACGTTCAGATCGGCAGCCCGATCTACACATGCAACAAAAACAATCACAACAGTAACCGTACCAATAGTCATAGGAACAACTAGCACAAATAGTATCTTGAAGACACGGGAGTTCTTTCAGCTGGGATTTATGAATTCTTCTTCCGCGAGAGGTCCATTTTGTGTTGCAGGAGACAAGCTTTGTCAGCCCCGAACCCTTGACCGGCCCAATCCCAACCTTAAGCCTGAACCCCCAAACCGCAGACGTCGAGGCCACTGATTTTGAGTCCCCTGAGTGTACATCTATCCTATCAGCACTCTGTGCTTCTGGACACTGTGCATTGTTTGTAGGTGGCTGGGCCGTTCTGCGCAATTTTCAATCCCTCTAAGAATAAGCTTGCCGAATCTTGATGTCGGGGCTTACGGCACTTAGGTTACAGGTATGGGGTCGACCTAGGGGTTTAGGCTTTAGTCTTTGGTGTCGTGGGCGAGGCTGAAGGTAGGTTGGGGATGCCACAAAGCCCAAAATTTGTGGCCGCAGGTGAATACACAGTTCTGTTCGTCATGGAGATGCCGGCAGGTTGGGTTTGGCGGGGGGGGGGGGGGGGGGAAAATGAACGGACATGGCCGAGATTCAACACCCGATACAGGTACAGAGATGAAGCAAAACAGCAATGCAGAATGAAAGCCCTGGTGCTCAATGCACAAACGCAGGATTGTGCATGTATGCAGAACTGTTACAATCGATACAGTACTCGATGATGGTAGATAGCCGTGTTCTAGCGGCAGATTAGAGTAGCGGCTCAGAACACTTGACAGTGAGTAGCGAGGGAACACAGTCCATAGTAGGATGACCCACAACGCTGAGTATATACATATATATATATATACACACACGTGCATGCAAACAACACCAACTGTCCACGAAGCGCCAAAAATAAAGGGTAAGGATGATGCATTCGTCGGCACAATGCAGGTCAGTGGCCAACGGTACAAAGCCAAAGTCCTGAGTTTCAACAAACACAACTACAGCAGCGTATCACGAACAGCTGTTGCAGCCGTCGTCCCACCAAGTCTTCCATGTCTTGAAGTACCTTAAGCCTTGGACTTCCTGGTTTCTCCCTTACCGCGGACGGCACAGGGTTTTTTCTTATCAATCAGAACTCGACTCTGTACGAAAAAGGGGACTTGGAGGACCGACGCAGTTCTGAACATGTGCGATGTGTACGTGTAACACGCAGAAGCAAAGGGGTTACGGTTCGGTTTTAGGGGAAGTTGTCTTGAGTTGTAAGAAGTGCATGCGGTAATTCGGAATCGGAACGAGTCCTAAGAAATCGGCAGCAACAAGAGCCTCGGCAGCAACAAGAGCCAGCACATGGTAAACATGTCCAGCCCCAGCAGAGCATACCACATAGTAACTTAGTGGTAAGTGAGACATAGTCGTACAAGACAGGTCTGCAATCAAAAAGGCATTTCCAGTAATGGTGGTTGCAAGGATGCGAAGCAACATAGAACCCAGCAAGAACCTTCGGAGACAGAGCTTAAAGGTCTAACTCCTAAACTTGCTAAGCCGCTCTATCTAAACTCACTAGCAGATCATCGGTTCGACGCTTTAGATATTTGAGTTCTAGTGGTTCGAACATGTCAGGTTGGGGTTTCGGTTTATCCGTGGCAACCTTCGGGGCAAACGCGTGGGATTGCAAATTCTGGTGCATTCGGTTCTTCGTGGAGTCAGGAAATGCCCGACTGGCTGACCAGCTGGCGAGCTCGCTTGTAGATTTTTTTGGAAGGGGGTGGGGGGGGGGGGAGGTGGAGGCGGTTGTTTGTCACATGTCTGGCTGTCACCGTGCTTGCCATGCGGCTGTCACTCTTGGCATAGTGCAGCGTTTGGGGTGCAAACTTGGGACTTATGCATGTTCTCAGAGTCATCGGGACCTTTCGGTAAGCCTTACGAAGTCTTTATTAATTAGAGCTATTGCGACCCCTACCCCCCTCCCCCTAACCCTACCCAGGGTCCTTGTGATAGGGTCACTTCGCATGCTCGCATGGTGAACCACGCTGCAGCCATCCTCGGATGTCCAAGTGCATGACCCCGAAAGGTTTAGGGGTTTCGGGTTTAGGGTTGAAGCCTTTTGGACCAAAGCAAATGGAACCGTAAATCTATTCCTGCAACGCAGGAAGCCGCAAACCTCAAAGGCATGGCCGCAAGAGAAGAAGAAAGAAGCCTACTAAATAGTTATGACTATCATTTCCTTATTGAGTTGTCCTTTGTAGAACTATATACCAGAACATACACCATAACCCTATTCTGATGATGAAGGCCCCTATAGTTCACAGGGTAAGCTGCGCTACTTATCACTGGCAAGGCGGGCTGCGACCCTGCGCCGGAGTGCTGTGCCGAGATTGCAGTCAGAAAGCATCGATGTCTCGCGCTGGTTTTTTTTTATTCACAGGGCTATTTAGTGGTTTATACAGGCTTACTGAGGATTTATGAGGGGTTTCGGAGTCCAGCGTTTGGTGCCCTAAGCCCGATAGATACAACGGAGGGCATCAGCTTTTCACGGCAGCGACCTAGGTGGTGGCAGGTGAGTTCTTGTGGGAGGAGCAGAAGCAGCGCTCTGACGCAGGGACACAAGTTTAGGGTCTAGGATGCCGCAGATAACAGCTAACAGTTATGACAGTTACAAGTACCACATATTGAGGATATAACCAGCCATTATCACGATGCTTACCTTACTTACAACCCTGCCTCATAGCTGCCAATGTGCCTCCACGAACGAGCTTGAAAGCTCAATTGAGCATCCTTGTGCCCAAATGAAAGCTCTCAGCCAGCCTGACCTCATTGAACCCAACACCCTAAGCATAAGCCATGAAGCCTCAACCCTGAGCTATAAGCATCCACAACCTCAAACCCAAAACCTTTAACTCCTAAACCCAAGCCCTAAATCCTGCATACGTCCATTAGGGCTCAGATTTTCGCCGTCTGGTCCCGTCGAAGAACAGTCAGCCCTCTTCCACTCAGCTGTGCACACCAAAGCCCATGTCTGAAACAAGCAATCCACAGTTTCGGAAGCTGAAAAGGCGATAAAGACCCCTTTAGAACCCTCATGGTTCAGGGTTTGGGGTTTAAAATGGTATAAGGAGAACCCCTTACTTAAAGGCTCATGGGACTTAGTAAGTAAGGTTATGAGTAGGTTATAATTAGGATAATCCCACTTAGGGGACTTATAACCCTAATTATAATATAACTTATTTACTAAGTCCCATGATCCTTTAAGTATAGAAACTTCTGTAGAACCCTAGCAGAGTCCGGAAGAACGCCGAGGTTGCATGTAGCTTTGGAGCCCAAGTCCGCCGAGGAGTCCTTGCTTGGTGAGTGTACCTGGGTTTGGAGTACCATACTTGAATACTTTTCTTGGTGCCTGTTCCTCAAAGGAACCATTCTGAAATAAAAGTCTATACTTTTTCTCCATGGGTACTTCAAAGTCCAGCGTATGTTGGCCAGCTGGGGGTTCAAGTTCAGCACTCAGTGGCTTAAGGGCGTGTGGCGAAGGGTTGAGGGGTTTAGGGTTCGGTTTGAGGTTTACGGTGTAGGATGTATGTAAGCTGGAAAGTGCGGTTGGAATTGGAGGCTTGTGGGTAGTCACATACTCGGGAAGGATTGGACTCGACACCTTGTCAGGCCTATGGTGTCTTTTATCCACTGTTCGAGTGTTGATTTCGCGGGTTGCATGTTGTTGCAGAGTCGACGGTTGCGGGAGTAGGGTTCAATGGTTTGAGGGTTTCGTGCGGGGCTTAGCTTGTTCTCAAGACCTTGGGTTTGAAGAATCGAGTAGTGGGGCTCGGTACCGCCTGCAATAGGAGCATGGCAATTTGATACATGATTCCTCGACAATTCAGCATCTGTCAATGTCTTTTGAAGTTTATAGGACTTAAAGAGGACCGAAACCCCAGTTTGTAATTACGATGTCGGGCTCAGATTTTGCGACTTTCTTAGCACTAACGGAAGCTTGTGATTTCAAGGCCGGGCGCCCAAGGGTTCGAGTTCCGCGCGGACGTGCCCACGCACATGTACACGCATGCACGCAGACACAGACGCAAACAAACGAACGACAAGGAGTCTTAATTTGGACCTCCAAAACGCTGCTCCAAAGCTTCAGTTCTGTCTACACCCCAGCATTAGTTTGGGGTGCAGGATTTACGGTTTAGGGTCTAGCGATCATCGGATTTCCGACTCTGACTCAATCCCAATCGACTGCCCCAGACACTTTCAGCCCAAAACCCTAAACCCTAAACCCTAACCCCAGCACTATGTCGCCTTCTTCGAGTTCCAGCACTATGTCGTGGAGTACTTCGTCTTCTTCGAGTTCCAGCTCGTTGTTGGGGGTAACTTCACTGGTGTGGACTCCGACCTCCTGGCAGACTTTATCGGTTAGTCATCCTACCTCCTGGCAAACGAGTACCTTGATGGCTTTGTTTGTCGTTCCTGAAATGATGGGGATGCACTTGGAGTTCCTCGCTGAGTGTCTGCCTATGCGAGCGGTCTTCCTGCTGGAAGTGAGTGAGTCAGTGATGGCACGACTTTCGTGGGGGGCATCTGCTTGGCTGTTGGGGTGGGAGGTTGTGGAGCTTGCTCCTCTACAGTGGTCCTTGGGGTGCACGTCTACCACGACTTCGTTCTTCCGCACGAACATGTCAGGTCTGTGGTTGCTAATCAGTTGATCTTGGGTGGACAAGCGGATGTTCATGTGTTCATCCGCCAAATGCTGGGTCATCAACGTCGTCTCCGTCACTTGCAGAACTTGGTGGATGAAGCTGTGGAGGCTGCTTTGGAATGGATACATCTGCCGCTTACTGCAAGATCCTTCAACTTCAGGGCAATGGAGTCCGAAGTATGGCGCTCCATTGTGAGGGAGGCTAGCTTTGGGTCGGCTCCTTCGTCGGAAACTCCTCCGGTGGCTGTGTATCATCCAGTGGTCCTTCTTCGGCATGGATTCCCTCCCTCACTGGAGTCCCTTCAAGATGCCCTACCGATGGACTCAATGACGACCATAGCCGGCTACCGCAGACGTAGTTGGCGCAATCATGTTCGTGCACTTCACACGGCGGCTGGGAGACCTTTCCCAGAAGGCAATTGGCCATCAGAGTGGGATCGCACGTTGTACTTGGTGCAATCCTCGGAGGATGAGGCCGTGCCGAATGCGTTGCACATGGCGAGCTCACCTGGTGTAGAAGACGTCCCTCGAGCCACTCGTCGCAGAGGACGTCGTTTTCTTGCGCCTCCTCGTCTTCCTGAGCCGGTTGGAGAACTCCGAGCGCTTGCTGAACTTCGTGCTCGTGGTCCTCGTGGTCCTCTTGGTGGTTCTGCTGAAGATGACGCCTCTTTGCCTACGGCTTCTTCGTTGGCTTCGAGTGGTCGGCGTCGTCGTTCTGCTGGTCGAGAGCGTAGCCGTAGTCGCGACTCTTGAGTGAGATGGCCTGAGTATGATATGAAACTTGAAGGTCTGAGTTGGCTGACGTGAGAGGGTCTTCCTTGGAGCGATTGAGAGTCCTTTGACGTCTTGCTCTGAGGTGGTACATAAGATCTTTGATTTGCCATGACAGTCTTGACTGACGGCTGTCTGGTGGTTGTGAGTGCCTGATGTCTGACTGAGGCGACTCAGGGTTGCTGTGTGCCTGTTTGGATGCACACCTCAAGGAGGTAGGTGCTGGACCCGCGCCGCGGAGAAAGAACCACTGCATCTTAAAAAAAAAAACCCCAACCCCTTAACCCTAACCCCTAAACTCTAACCCCTAAACCTTGAACCTTAAAACCCTGTATCGGCAGGCTTACGTCCGGGAGAGCCGGGATCCTGCTCCCTAAGTGAACCTGCGAACATCATACTTGGAGGATCATGGGACTTTTTACGTAGTCGTAGTAGTAGTAGTAGTAGTAGTAGTAGTAGTAGTAGTAGTAGTAGTAGTAATTTTATTATATATATAAGTACCCTAATTGGCTTAGAGCCTCAATTACAAAGTCCCATGATCCGTTAAGTAGCGATCCCGAAACCCTGAAGCCCAGAGCCTGGATGGAAAACCCCATGCTGGACCTCCAACCTTGTCTTTTGAGATAATAAACACAAACCCGAAACCTGAACCAAAGCCCTATATACACCTTTACACAGAAGCAAAACCCTAAGATCTGGTCTCATTTTAGATTAGACACAGAGCCCTAAACCTTTCGAATTTTGTTCTTATTAGTTATAAAGCTTGAGATTTTGTTCGGAAACACAGCCCTGAACCCTAAACCCGACCCTAAGCCCTAAACCCCTAAGCCCTCAGCCCTAAACTCTAACCCCTTTAATCCCCAAACCCTATAGTAGAAACCAGAAAGTTGGAACATCATTATCCTCATGCCCTTAAGGTAAAGTATAAGGGATCCTAGCACTAATCCTCCCGAAGCCATGTTCCAACTTTTCTAGCTGCTACTATAAACCCTAAAACCCTATAATCCCCAAACCCTAAGCCGAAATCCAATAGATCCCTTATGGATCCCTTTAAAGGAACCCCTGTAGATCCCTTTAAGGCCACCTAAACCCTAAATCCCTCAAGGCCCCAAGTCCGTAGCTCCGCGGAGGATGCCGGTTCCTGTCCTTCCTACGACCGGAACCTGGGCTCTTGTTAAGGATTTGCATTTAACTGACCATTTTGGGGGATCTATGAAGGATCCTTTAAGGGTTTATAAGGGTTTAAGGTTTAGGGTTTAAGGTTTAGGGTTTAGGGTTTAGGGTTTAAGTTACGATAATAGCAAACAGTACGGTTTCCTTGTTCTGGTAACTTAAGTTACGTAAATCCTCTCACAAGAGCTCAGGAACGGTATCCTCGATCTCCAGGCCCACGAAGCTTCACGCCTTCTGGGGTCTGTAGGGTGTAGGACTTAGGTATGTTGGGGTGTTTTTGGTTCGGGGTTTGGGGATGGTTTTTGGGGTTTAGGGTTGAGAGTTTAGAGACGTTTGGGCTTTCTAGACTTTTTTGTTGTGGTTCAGTTCTTTGAGAGGCCTGCGGGGCTCCGCGGGGTTTTGTGCTTGGCGATTGTTTACTTGGAGGATCATGGGGCTTTTAAGTAGGGTTATAAGTACCCTAATTGGGGTAATAAGTAATTATAACTGTAGTTACCTGACTTATAACCCCAATTGCTATCCCCTGGTCCTTTAAGTAGAGGTTGAGTTGTCCGAAAACACGAAGAGCCAAATCGGCAAGCAGTGGCTTAGAAACGTTAGGGTTTAGGGTTGTAGAAAGTTGGTGGGGTTCGGAGGTTTCGGTATTCAACATGAACACTGGAAATGGCTACCCTTGTTCTTCAGGAGATACTGGAGCACCAAGTTAGGTTCAGAGTTTCGGGTTCCCAAACAAAGGTTTGGGTTTCAAATGTTTCAAATAGATGTAGAGTTCAAACAAAATTTGACTAAGCTGGGGGTTCAAGGCGGAAGGGTTCATATCAGGTTTGAGGTGCAGAAGAGTGCAAAGTTTGGGGCTTAGGCTTTGGAACATGAAACCCCTTAAGCCCTAAACCCCCAGCCCCATACCATATACCCTGAACCCTATACCCTAAACCCTAAACCCTAGACATGAAGACGCGCGAGCGACCGAACAGTCTGCGCAGAGAAAGGGTTTCCTGGAGCAGTGAGGTTCGGATTCATGCCAAGGCCATGTTCAGGATTTAGAGTTGAAGGAGTCTTCGGAGTTTACGGGTTAGAGTTTAGGGCTTAGAGGACTTTTCAGTTGAAGATATAAGTACCTTGAGTGGAGTTATAAGTGGATATAGCTACAGTGCTTATAGCTGTGATTGCTGTTTGGGAAGCCCGCGGCAGGATAACAGATCCAACCAACGATTTAGGGCTCCTTGCTCCGGAAACCGCCATGCAGTAGATTTTGGGGTTCAGGGTTGGATCCTTGCTGTAAGGGTCCATGTACTCAAACAGTGTATACTTAGGCCTACCTATATGGGTACATTGGGCCCGAACTGTATATTTTGGTACATGGACCCTTAGGGTTGTGGACCTACCGCAGCGTGAACAAGCCTTAATCCGAAGTCCTGTATGCTTCTGGTCTTCAGGAAGCCTGAACCCGGTTAACCCTCCTTTCGCTCAATTGGGCAAGCACCGTAAACCCTAAACCCTTCCCCCACAAAAGCCCACTGCACTTAAAATGAGCCCTAAACCCCTGCACTTAAAAATGAGCCCTAAACCCTAAACCCCACCAACGCAGACTCTGAACCCCAACGGCTAACAGGTGCAGGGCCTTTCCCCTTGCAATATAGGGGCCTAAATAATTACCGATTATCCCCCAAACCCTGTTCTAATCATTCCATAGAGGGTCCAAGCACTCAAAAAGTAGGGTTCTAGGCCCCAAACTCCATACTCTGAATGCCTTCTGGACCTTGAACCCCTACCATTTGGGCACTTGGACCCTTAGGGTTAAGGCCCCTACCCAGAGACTCCAAAAATCCCTTTATTAAGGAATATACCTTGAATTATAGTAGGATCCCTCATATGATTTACGGAATACTCCGTAATTAAGGGATATTGGAGTCCCCCCAACTCTGAACCCTGTAGACCCCTTATAGGAACCCTTAAGGGAACCCTAGGTATTCCTGAATTAAAGGAGATGGGAGTCTCTGGGTATATTGTTTCACTTCGGCTGGATGCTCCGAGTCCGGGTTAAGGAGATTCCCTGGGCTTGGGGCCGTCGGAGGGGTCATGGCATCTGGTTTAGGGTTTAGGGGTTTAGGGTTTAGGGCTTAGGGTTTAGGGTTTAGGGTTTGGGGGTTCAGGGTTTAGGGATGCTTTAGGGTTTAGGGTTTGGTGGTTTGGGGGTTTAGGGTTTAGGGACGAAAGCCTGCTTCCCTTTTAGGGTACCCTTAAAGTCTACGTTTTATAACGAGAGCCCACAAAAGGTACTCCGTGGTGCAGCCTTTATTTTGGCTCAAAATCTTTTCTTCAGGACTGGTTTGAGCCAGCAATGGTTCCGCAGTTTCCGGCAGCGGTTGTGCTTCTGGAGCGCGCTCGAGTGAAGAACACGTTCCTCGACTTCCGTGAGGAAGTCGAGAAGGACACGGCACGGTACAGGGTTTAGTGTTCGTTCCTTGCATCCTGGCGGAGTCCTTTTCAAGGTGTCGAGGTAGAAGTATGGCGTGACAATGAGTCTGTCAGAGGCCATCAACCCAGAGACTCCAAAACCCCTTAATTAAGGAATATACCTTAAATTATAGTAGGATCCCTAATATGATTTAAGGAATATTCCTTAATTAAGGGGTATTGGAGTCTCTGGGAAGCCCAAAATTGTACTGTTTTTCGGCCTCCTCCTGCCGGGGCTTGGCTCTGTGCCCTAATCACGCATGCGGCCCTGAAACCTGAGGGTTTAAGGGTTTAGGGTTTAAGGGTTCAGGGGTTTAAGGGTTCAGGGTTTAAGGGCTCAGGGGTTTAAGGGTTCAGAGTTTAAGGGTTTAGGGTTTAAGGGTTTAGGGTTTAAGGGTTTAGGGTTTAAGGGTTTAGGGGTTTAAGGGTTTAGGGTTTAAGGGTTTAGGGTTTAAGGGTTTAGGGTTTAGGGGCACATCCTGAAAATTCAGTTTACCAACAGCCTACTCAGCTCCAGAGTTATGTCTTCAGTTTGCACGTCGCGATGGAGTGGGAATAATAATAGGAAGAATAATGGTAATAATAATAGTAATAATAATAGTAATAATTATAGTAATGATTATAGTAATAATTCTAATAATATTAATAATGATCCCAGATTGCAGGCAGTTGAAACCTTGCTCCACACATGAGCTTCGCACCTTTGAGTCGAAACACCCTGAGCTCTCAAAGCGTCCCAAACCCTCAGCTCCTCTTCAATCCCCCTAAGCCCTAAACCCTAAACCCTAAACCCTTAAACCCTTAAACCCTTAAACCCTTAACCCTTAAACCCTTAAACCCTGAACCCTTAAACCCTAAACCCTAAGCCCTTAAAC